AGGTGAACAGCGTTTTTCTTAAAAATATCACTGTTACTTCTCGCTTCGTGATTTGTTCAATACTTCGAACGCGGCTCGAGTCCGTGCTGCGGGGTCTCGAACTTCGCGCCGTCACCTCTCATTGGTCAGTGTTTTCCGTTAATAACTCGTAAACAAAGCCGCAGATCGCATTTTCGCAAAGGAAAAAGTTACTTCAAATGACCTCAGCTACCCCTCATTTTCGGCTGTTAAAATAATTATGGAACACCCTGTATACTATTATATCATTTATTATTTATTTACTTTCTCGTTCCTGTCTAAAAGTGACGCGTGTAGCACGTCGTTTCAGCGCAAGAGGTAAAGGGCGTTGGATCCTCGAAAGCTCACAACTGACAATTTCGCCAAGATCTATGATTTCTATGCCTGTGCATGTTCGTACGTTCGTTGAAATATCTCCGGAAAAAATATGCGTTCTACGCCGTGGATCGCCATCGCAATTTTATTCTAGAAAAGCACGCGCGCCCGCGTGTGTGCGCCGCCAGCGTGTTAATGCATACCACTGTCTCCTTCTTGATCATTTAGCGACACTTTTCCGCGGGTCCGCGGGCATGGAAAAATATAACGCGTCGCAAAAAGCTAATACGCGCGAAGAACGAAGGTGAGCGAAAAGTTACTAATTTAAATGTAAAAGTAATTAGCGGCATGACGGGCCGCGCTTCGCAATAACCAGCCCACGGTTGACCCTCTCTTCGCTCGCCATCCCGTGTGGCCGCTGTTACGTGTGAAATTTCAAAGATACTCATAATTTTCCAAGGCGTGTTTAACGCGGGTCGCGTCTATTGTAACGCAAAAGTTCAAAGACACCGCGGGCTCGTAGATAACCGGGCTCGGCCTGACCCGGGACGTCCGGCTGAATTTAAATTTATCACTGAGCGCGAGCCCTCTAAAGCGTCGTTTAAGCTCGACTTTAAAGGCTCGAAATTTAGCACGCCGGAGTTGCGCGCCGCGTAAATTTCAACGGTCTATCTATCCTTTCGGCTAGACGCGAACTACTCCCCGAGCATTGTCCTTTTACTGCTGCACCATGCATTCGGTTATCCGTGGTTTCATCTGGGATCGCGACACCGTGTCCACGGCATTTCCGCCGCGTTTCGTCCTTGTTACGCGCCTTATCTTATTGGCACCGAATTAAATTATTGTTTCCAAGCGTGTCGGACACGAGAATTGTTTAGCGAACCGGTCTCTCGTTGATTTGTTCGGTATACATGCAAATTTAAGCTAGTAAATCCTAATAGTTCGACAGAGCACCGAGATTCGCGGTTAACTTGCGATTAATTAGCAAAGATCAGTATCCGGAAAATTTGTTTGAGTTCCGAATCGTCTATTGCACGATGTATTCGATAGATATGTGTGACTAAAAAGATTAGGGTTATGAGCGACAAGTGAGTACAATTAAATCCATTGAATAGAGAGAAAAGAATATTTTTTTGCATAGATTTTAAGTTACAGTAATTTCTCCCAGAAATGTTCGGAGGTCGGAATTGAAACCGGCAAATCTGAGAATACTAAGTCATGATTCTTTGAGCTTCGCGGTTCGTTTTTATAGAAACTCAGGGCAGTCAACAAAAAAGGCAGCGACCAGTGTGCCGGCTTACATTAATATGAATACATAGCGACGCTAGAATAAAAACGATGACTTAACTTTTTTATTTCTAATATTTTGCCACGATTCGAAGGCAATTCGAAGGCGGATTTTCTTACGTGGCTCACACTCAAATAGACCATTTTATATTGTCCTGCGGAACACATGCTTGACCGACTAGGTCGGTCAATAATTTCGGCAATAAATCGCATAGGCGTAGGACTAGCACAGGGAAATTCACAGCAACCCGAAATTTGGCATTTCCGGGAGAAATTACTGTTGTTCGTTGCAACCATTTAATATGGGCATTGCCATACCACATGATTCAAATTTGTTGCTTATACAAAGCTAGTAAAATTAATTTGCTACTCGTTACTATTTAAAGTTATAGTAAACACCTGGCTGCTAAAGTGGATGCATTTTTGAGAAAAATTCGTAGATCAAAAACAAGACAAAAATAATAGAAGGTGTTGGAAGTACTTATTCATATTACTTCGGACTTTGTAAAACATTTATAGAAAGAAAGAAATGTCCGTATAGCTTCTGTACCTGGCAATTAATGCAAATAATTTTTGTTTCGCATAAAAATCCGCGATCTACACATGACGCAATATTTAAGAAGTCCACCATGTACTTGTCTTTGTTAAAACGTGTCTTGAAGTTGTTTTAATGATTCATAAAGGAGGTACGTTGCGTTTAATAAAACATTTCAACAATGATGAGAGGCACTTAAGAAAGTTGACAGAGAGATTATGGATTATCAAACAATTCCCAGGGAGATCGTGAATTGTTATTAGCGGTGGAAACGGGAATCGCGTTTCCTGCAGACGCTCTATTAATTATTCCCACGAAGTCTCGCAAAGACCGTGAAATGTTTGTCGCAAAGTAACCAGCTGCAGTCATCTAACCATAGCCAGTGAACCAGCAAAGTTTCCGGCCATAATTTATTAGCACCCCGTAGATCGTCATTAATTTGCACAACAATCGAGCACGGAATTCGCTTCCGTCGGTCGACTCACTCGATTAGGGGTGCAACGGTTCCGAACACACCGTAAAACGGGGTTAGATGAGAGAGAGAGCGCAAGGAAGGAAGAGAAAGAGAGAGAGAGAGAGTCTCTCCCTGAAACTATCGCGTAGCTGACACAACAAGTAGCTAGAAGGGTGGCCCAGTAGAAACTGTCCTCGGCAACTTGCGCCCCGATACTCGTCAAGTCTCCCAGCTAATTATCCCAGCGATTAGGTACCGGAATTAACGTCTCCGCGACAACTTTCTCCCTCTGTGCGTTTACAAAGAACCTCTGCTCCCGATTCTGTGACTCGATGCCTCGATTACTCAGTGAACGCCGTTTAAACCCTCTTTGCGCAGCTGCGACGGATTGCGTACGTGTGCGTTGCGTATACAGGTTGCAACAAAAGTGCAATTCATTGCAATTCAATGTGAATCTATATCCTCGTATTAGCAGAGATCTTTTGCAGAAGCAAGAAAACAACTAAATTCAGTTTCCATTTTCCCATGTATGTTTCACTTGACCAGGGCATATAGTGCAAATTAATTTGTTATTTTTTATAGAATTATATAATATATAATATTATATTATAATATAATAAAATATAATATTATATATATAATATAATATTGCACGAGTTCGATTCGACAAGTTCATATTATTTAGATTCACAAGTTACTTAAATACTTAATAAGTAATAACTTATTATTATGTTCGTTGTCCTCCAAATTTCTACTCGATTCTAATTAAGTAAGTTATTAACTAACATTCATAATGATGCCGTGATTGTGAGAAGACAGAGGTCCACGTCAAC